GGAAGAAGAAAAAATTGAGTATTTTGAAAGGCTTTGCTGGGAGTGCGCCCTCAGAGGTGAGAAAGAGTTGGGCATTTTCTTCAGTTCTGCTTTGCCAAAAAATGAAGGTCGACATATATAGGGAATTCAATAGCAAGTGGTGGTACTGTTCTTTTACCGTTGTGGACAAACGTTTTGATCCCGCAAATCTGGCTTTTTGAAATAGTGACGACTCTTCGATCTTTCAATTTGCCTCTTCGATTTCTGAGCAGTCGCCCCTTCAATTTCTGAACGATGCCATTCGCTTTCTGAACGACACGTAGTAGCGCGGATGCGGCTCTTTCTGAGATCTTTTGACAAGTGGCACGCGTTTTCTGCAAAGCGGGGAGTTTTCGACAAATATGCACACGCTTTCTGGAAAGCCGGGAGCTTTCGGCTTTGTCTCCCACATTTGTCGGCTAAAGTGTGCAGCTGATTTCTCGCCTTCCACGCGTCTTCTGAAAAGCTGGGATTGCGTCTGACGAGCTGGCGATCTTTACGCCGGAAATTCCGGTTTTGAAGAGTGGTGTCTCTTCATTCTGAATTGGTGAACGCCTCTCCTTTAATAGAGGTGATTGATCACCTCTAGCATGCACACTTGAAAATTGCCCAGAAATCGTCTCTGGCCCGTTTGAAAATCTACTCCATCCACCCCTTCTCTTTTAACTTCGTGAACAATGGCTAGCTCATCCAACCCATCGAACCTTTGCTTAGATTTGAGTCTAAGCAGTGATCCGGTCGCGTCTCGTCAGGGTAAGGTATGGTGCCCGTCTTTCTTATCTTCCCATGGCCCTCTTACAGATGAGGACTCTGTGATGACGGATCCCACAACGGCTACGATAGTGGCTCGGAACCTCCTCACTCCCAAAGACAGTCAGCTGCTTTCTGGACGGTCCGATGAGTTGGCCGTTCAAGAGTCCTTGGCTCTTAGCGTTCAGTGCGCTGGCTCTGTGTCCAACATGGGCCAACGCCTTCTTGCTCGCTCCCGTCAGGTTGAATCCTTGATGGCGGAGGTGGAGAGTCTTAAGCAGGAGATCAAACAGCTTAAGTACGAGAACCGAAGTTTGCACGTGCTTGCCAACAATTATTCGTCAGGCATGAAGAGGAAGCTTGATGAGCTTGATGACCGTCAAAAGCTTGCGGCTTTCTTCCAGAGGCACCTCTTTCCTGGGTCATCCAGCGTTCCACCAAGGTTTGGGGCCTTGAATGATCTATCTTTGGTACCTCCCGCTCCGATGCCTTCCGCTCCGATGCCTCTTGCTCCGATGCCTTCCGCTCCGATGCCTTCTGCTCCGATGCCTTCTGCTCCGAGACCTCCTGCTCCGAGACCTCCTGCTCCGAGAGTATTGCCATGTAGTGGGGCCTCACGTACACAACCCTTGTGAAGGCTCCATCTTTCTGCCATGTTTAGATACAATTGTAATTTCTCAAAAATAAATGAACAAGTTTTTTTTTTTTTTTTTTTTAATTACAATCACTCGGAAATCAATGAACAAGGTTTATTCACTGTATTGGGTTGCCTCCCAAGTAGCGCTTTCTTTTACGTCTTGCAGCCGGACGAAACCTTCTTAAGCTCATTTAGGACTCATGACATGGAATTTATCTCTGAATGGGGGGTGATACTTGAGATGATCCGGTAATGGTTCAAATTCTAAAGTGGGTGCCTGGATCATTAACAACATATTAGTATAAAAGAAAATTGAAATTCGGGGAGGCGGCTTACCTGTGTGCTCCGACAAGAACTCAAGGATAAACACATCTTCTTTGAACGTTTCAGGGACTTTGCACTCGCCCAGATGTGGTGTGAGGATTGGTCCTTGACCTGTGTCATAAAATTCAATTTCTTTGGGGTTGTTTGCCTCAAGTATATCCTCTTCTAGACATTCCCCAGTCACATCTTGCTCTTGATTCTTTGGAAAGGATTTGAAGATGCCTTTCTCACCCTCTTCTTCCTTGGATTGCATGATCCTGCAAGGAATAGGGACATTCAGTGGAATGGGGTTAGAATTAATTAAATTTGGAACAACCTTACTTGAATTAGATGGCGTGAGAGCAATAGGTGCCTGCGGCAAAGGTGTTTCCACCCTTGTCATAGGTTGCGTGTGTTCCTCTTCCTCAAATTGCAACCTTTCATCTTCCTTGTAATTTGATTTAAGGTCCGTTCCAACCTCCATAGCATTTCCCAAAGTTATAGCATTGTGGATTTCAAAATCTTCCTTCGAGTTTTCAATAGTTGAGTTGGAGAGTTCACTTTGCTCTTGAATTTGTTTCATGAACCCCATAATCTGCTCAATTTGCTCCTCCAATTTACCCAACTTCTTGTCTTGATTTTGTTCGTCCTTGTTTTGAGTTTGGACTTCATTGCTTTGGGCAGGTTGTGGTGGCTGCATAGGTGCTGTATAAAACTCCTCATATGGTTGCCAATATGCTTCTTGTTGAGCCTCCGTGGCTTGATTTTGTGACCCCTGCACCAAAGAATTTAATTCATTAAGAATTTGATTATAATCTATTGACGAACTTGAATTTAATTGAACATATTGCATATCAAGTTGTGGTGGCTGCATAGGTCTTGAATAGAACTCCTCATATGGCTGCCAATATGCTTCACGTTGAACTTGTTGAGCTTCCCACCACATAGAGTTTGAATGATCCCTCCAATCTCTTTGTGGACATTGATTGGCTTGAAATCCTTGCCTATATGAAGCACCAAATGTAGGGATACTCTGCATTGTGGTCCCTTCGGCATACGGCGACAATTGAGAAGTAAGATTTGCCAATTGAGCTTGAATGCTAGCAAAATCCATTTCTTACTTCTCTAGTACCTAACATCAAAGAAAGAGAACTAAATCAACTATCAAAAGTAGCAACAAACAAAGAAAACAACACTAAGTTAGAAACTAAAACAAAAACAACTAAACCAAAAAGAAAAGAACCAAGGGATTAGCAAAGTTGCTAATCCCCGGCAACGGCGCCAAAATTTGATGCGAGAATTATACGCGCACAAATTAAACCCTCTTTTCGTCAATTGTAGTAAGTATGTAAGTAGGGATCGTTCTGGACCGGGGATTAGGAGGGATTGCTAAAACCTTGGAAACTGACTCAAAAACGTAAAAACAAGATAAAACACTAAACTAGACTCAAAGAATGTGAAACTAAACGTTAAAACACTAAGACAAACCAAAAGACTCAAAATGCTTTAAAAACACAAACTAAATTGATTTCTAACTAAATTGAACAATAAAGTAAAGGGGGATTGGATTTGGACGACTTTAAACTAAAAATGGAAACTTGGAAATAAAACAAATTGTAAATATGGATTTGACGGAAATGAATGGATGGGAAGCTAGCTAAGGGGTTCATCTCCACATATGTTATACTTGCATACAAAACGATGTCTAATTGCTTTTCAATAAACCATGAATTCTCAACGCCCCGGGTTAATTAGGTCCGCTTAAATTAACCGTCAAGTTTTCCTTAAATTAATGAATTGGATGATTGCATACGACAATCCAAAGCATTCCTCACAAGTTCCCTACATGAATTGCATAATAGAGATACAAGCAAGAATCATTAAGCATCATGAAAACTATAAGTGTTGACGAGGCATTCGTTACTATGATTGCATGAAACTTATGCCAAGAATATGTTTAACACGATTGTTTATAAGCAACCTCCACTACTTGTGAATATAAGTTCATAACTATTACGTGAAACTCACTTATATTCTAGCGTCAAATTCATGCATGAAAATTAAGCGTTCATTCTTAATAAACATACATAAATAGGTTATCAATTAAACAGTTAAACAAATTGAATTCACAACTTATGAAACGTAATTAAAAGTAATCAAATCATATTACAAACATAAACATAGTTTCGAATCACCCCCTAGCTAAAGGGGGTTTAGTTCCTCATAACTTTGAAATCAAAGAAACACCTAAACATTCCAACAACTCAAACTTGAATTGTATGAACGTTTAGGCACTCTTCTCTTCCTCGTTGTTGTAGCACAAGGTTTAAGGATAGGTTGGTTGATGGGATGGAAGTGTGGAATGGAGTGGAAATGGAGAAGATGGAGAAGGGGAAGTGTTTGTGTATTACAATGGAAAATGAGATGATTTGGTGAATGGAATGAATGGGTATTTATAGGAAGAGAATGGGTGTTAATGGATGTTTGTTTAAGGTATTTGGTGGATGGGAAAAGGTGTGGATGGTGGGAATTATGGTGGATGGATGGTTTAGTGGATGTAATTTAGGGTTTATTTAGGTGAATGTGGATGCATGGTTTAGTGGATGTAAAGGATAATGGGATGGTGTGGAATTAAAAGCTAAAAAAAATGGGATAATGGGCATTTAAGTGTGAATGGAATGGTGGGATGCACTAATGGAAATTATGGAATGGAATGGTGGGATGCACTAATTAGGAGGAAGAATTAGGGTGAAGGGCTTAATGCATGGATTTGGGCCAATTAGGGTGAAGGGCTTAATGCATGGATTTGGGCCTAAAATGCCCCCCCTTGCATGGCAAGGGAAAGGACTTGGGCTAAAGCCCACGGCAATGGCTCTAAAATGGGCTAAGGTTAGGGTTTAGGTCATCTAAAAGCCCAAAGCCAAGAATAGAAACTCACGACAATGGAAACCTCCAAGAATAGAAACTTCCAACTTTAGAAACTTTGGTTACCAATTCCGACTTCCTTGCTCTTCACTTTCATTTCTTCATTTCTTAAGCTCCTTTGACCTTCAACCTCGTTCATTCCTCGTGCTCCATTTGCATACACCACATTCCAGCTCAGTTTTGCTCCAAAAGCTCCCAATTGCATCATTTCATGTAATATGTCCTTTAAACCTGAAAACACATGAAAGTAGCTTAAAAGACTACTTTAACGAATAAAACATAACAAAAATGCATAAGAACTAGCTAACTAAGGCGCATAAATATGCTCCTATCAGTAAACCAAGACATATTGGCCGAGTTCCAACACCCACTTCATCATTTGTTGAGAAACATCTAAACCATGTAAGATAGATCGTAGGGGATACTAAGTCAGAACAATGACCATATGCGCTTGAAAGTATGGTTTGAGCTTTTAAGTTGCAATAACTGCCAAATTAGTTTTTCAATCCTCGGATATCTTGTTTTCGTATGAAGGAGAGCTTTAGAAGTGTAGAAGATTAACAGTTTGGCCCTTAGCTCTGGTCATTAGAGGGCATAGCTTACTGCTACATTTAAGACTAGCAAGTAGATGTATTATTCCTTGGCTACTTCCAACTTGGATAGTAGCGGAGGCAATGTTAAATATTTCTTTAAGTGTTGAAATGCTTTCTTGCACTCGTTGCACCACTTGTCTATTTGCGCCTTCTTGATGACCTTGAAAAAGGTGTTGCATTGATTGATTGAGCACGAAAGGAAACGGTTGAGTGCAACTATGCTTAATTGTGAGCCGATTCTAGTCGTCTTCTTCAGTTGCTCGGGATCAAGAATGATGTATTGGGCGTCCTCTTCTGGCTTCCATCCTTTTTCTTCTATTGGTATGTCCTTTTGAATGCCATCATCTTGATCCACTTAATGTGGTTGCTATGCGGTAGCAAGCTTGTCCTTCTAAACCTTGGCAGCTTCTACAGGAGTGAAGGACTTTTTCGCTCATTCTTTTAGCATTTTCATCGTGCATCGTTAGGATGCGGCCGGGTCAGACTTGATCTCTCCAACTCTTTTTTTTGGGATGTGGAATTAGATTTTCTAGTACTCGATTGATGTTAAGATGCCGAGTTTCACTAACCAGGGCTTTCCCAGAATCCCGTTATAAGGAGACGAGTCACTGACTATTGTGAACTTCTGCTTTGAAACTACTGGCGGTGTTCTCACATTTAGTGTTATGTTGTCAATAACTGTTGAGGTATGTCCGTTGTATCTTGTGAGTACCTTTGCTTGGCGTATTATCATGCTCTCTAGGCCCATTGTCTGAATGTTGGATAGCCGAAGTAGATTTAATACGTTGATGCTGTTCACCATCGTTATGCCAACTATAACGCATGCCAATTGAACAAACACTACCAAAGCATCGTCGTGTGAGAAGCCAACTCCCTTAGTATCCTTTTCGGTGAAACCAACAATAGGTCCAGGTTTGGTGTATGCTGCCTGAACCTGGTAGATTGTTATAGCATATTGGATCTTTCTCTTCTTAGAGTTGTTTGTGGCCCCTAAGTATTCCGACTTGGCGAAGATGTCGTTCATTCTGATAGTCTTGGTAAGTTGTTCCTCCTAGGCTGCGCAGCTGGCTTGTCCAGGTATCTGAGCATTTACCCTCATTCACCAGCTTCTCTAAGTATTCCCAGAGGATCTGGTCGACTAGGATTGAGAACTTGGTATAGTCCTTGGTGGCTTAGCCTCCTTTTGTTAGGGACAGGTCTCCACGCTTGGCCTTCTGCTTGCTTCGGTTGTAAGACTACTTCATATCCACTTTCTTCTAGACTGCCTCAAACTCCTTCTGATGCTACTTAGGTGCCTTGATTTCCCATCGGGCCTTATCTCAAAGTGCATACTTCTCTGCCATAGCGAATGAGTTAGCTAGAGTCAGGTCTTCCTTCATCATCATTCTCCGAATAGGGCATGATCTGCTAGGAGTCCCTTTTCAAAAGTGTTCTAGCACTTAAGTCATTGTAGCTGATTATCTTCACATTCTTTGCCTTGGACCTCTTGACATAGTCATGGAACGACTCCTTTGGATTCTTCTTGATGTTGAAGAGATGATCGGACTTCTTCTTGATCGATCGACAGTATGAGTACTCATTAGTTAAAGATACATAAAACTTATCGAAACTTCGGATGGACTGTAGATGTAGGGTATGAAACCAATCTTTCATTTCGCCCTGCAAACTAGTGGTGAATATTTTGCACATTAAGGCATCGTTGGCCCTGTAGAGGATCATCACGCTGCATTAATGCTTCAAGTGCATTTTCAGGTCTCTATCACCCTTGAATAAGATGAAATATGGCGTATTGAGCTTAAGTAAGGGCTCCGTCTTCTCAATCTCGTCCATGAAGGATAATCTACCCATGTGAGCCATATCTCTACAAAGGGCTTCATCTGTGGTTTGGATGAGCTGGAATCCGCACAATCGCTATGTTAAAAGGGTCTCTACTTCTTCTTGAATTTGCCTCTGTCAGAGCAGTAGGGTTTTTGGATGCCCCTGGTTAGGACCTACTGGTCACGATTCCTCTTCACTATGGTCGGCTCGTCTATGCTAAAGCTGCTATGTATGTAGTAAGTTCCCGGGAGGCAAAATAATTACTCGTAGGCTGCTAGTTGAACTTGAGCCGAGTTGTGCGACTACTTCTCCCCGTTTGCCTAGCCGTGTATGAACACACCAACACCCAGAAGGTCCAGATCCATGGTTAATCAACAAAGATTCCTCCATGTTTCAGGTAAAACGCATGCACCCCCAAACTTCAGTTCTTATGTTAATTTTTAATTGCTTGTTGTCTGTGATTTTTACACTCATCCGTGTTCTGATGTTTGCAATGGACTATGCTAGTTGTGCATGTTTAAGATCTATTGAGTTGCATGAAGAATAACAGTCGAATTTAAAGTGTGCGTAAGGTGTGCATGGAACTGGTGTTCGAATAGTTGAAACTCGCACGTATTGTATTGCTTTCTGCGTGTAGGAAGCACGGATTGAGTTGATAACCGAGAGAAATGAACACTCAAGTTGCAGATCCAACGAGTCACAAAGGAAAAATCAACAGTTAAGCTCTTGTAACTGTAAGAGGTATGAAACTCATCCCTCTGTTCTTATTATGCTCAGCATGTATGTACACATTTGTGTTGTGATATTATTGGTTGATATATGGTCCATTTCCACTGTAACTTGTGCACCTGATTGTTGTGTTGCAGGAAATAACCCAAATTGGCAAAGGCAGCTTGATGTCACATCCCAAAAACCAAACAAGTGGCCCACATTGAAGAATGGCCACGCAGCAAAACAGAAAGGTATAACTTCCCATCTCTACTATGTGAATCACAAATGTGGTTGATGTTGATGTTCTTGTTTGTCTTGTTTGCTGTCTGCAAAAACCCAAGTGTGGAAATCAGAGATAGAATGCATAAAATACTACCGGTAAACTGAAAAGAAAACAAGTAAAAGCAAATACTAATAATTATTTTTTTAAATTAAATTTTTTTTAATTAACACTAAATGACAGCCTAGGAATTTAAATGTAGCTAGAAATTAAAGCTAATGAAATAAAATGAAAGAAGGTAAAAAAAAAAAAAAATAAATTAGATAATTGGGTTGCCTCCCAATAAGCGCTTTTTATAAAGTCTGTAACTGGACGTGGCAGAAGCTTGGTGTTTGTTCACTGGTTTCTTCAGAGTTAGTGACTTGTGTGTACTAAACTTCCCTAGGAATGGCTTTAGTATATACTTCTTGACCTTGAGCACACAACCCTGCCCTCTTTTTCAATGTTCACATTACCGTTTTGAAAAACCTGCTTAACCATATAAGAGCCCTTCCACTAAGACTCTTGTCTCCCGAGAATTGACTTGAAATCTGAACTTAACAACCACACTTTTGTACTCGTCTGTATTTTGTCACAACTTGGATTGCCTTGCAACTTTTTATTCTTGCCCTTGGCATTCAGATGTTTTTGGTTAATCTGATGGCCTGGATGGTTGTCAACAAAGTTAGTTTTGTTTTTTATTTTTGCATTTCAACCAGCTGAACTTTGTGCTGCTGCACTTTGCTCTCACACTCATGAAACTCATTTTGAGTCTTTATGGGCATATTGTCAGTTGATGATTTGGTCATAAATTTGGCACGAGGCAAACCATCTAATGCATCATCACGCATGGATTCTTACTTATCACTTGGATGTGTGCTAGCTTCAAACAATCTAAAAACAACCATTTGATCTTTTACCTGGAATGTTAGAGTTCTGGCTTCAACATCAATAAGAGTCCAGGCTATTCCCAAGAATAGGCGGCCCAAAATGATGGGTGTTATCAAATCCTCATCCACGTCCAACACCATAAAATCAGCTGGAAAATATAGATTGTCAACGTTAACAATAACATCTTTAATGACTCATCTAGGATAGGTAATTGAAGGGTCAACCAATAGAATAAGGCATTAAATTTACACTAGCACTTAAATAAATTGAATCACTACTAAAATCACAATTTCCAATGGTACAAGAGATAGTAAAACCTCATGGATCTTTCTTCTCTGGAGGCAATTTATGCAATAAGACTGCGCTGCACTATTCCATTAGAATCACTTTTTTGGAATCCACAAGCTTATTTTTCTTTGTGCAAACGTCCTTCAGAAAGTTGGCATAAGATTGAATGTTCTTGATTGCATCAATTAATGGAAGATTAATTTGAAATTTAGCCAAAGTGTTCATAAAATCTATCAACTATTGATCTTTAGCTTTAGGCTTCAACCTTTCAGGATAAGGCATTGGAGGCACATAAACATGCCCTGCAGTTTTTGTGGTAGCTTTTGCAGTATTTTCGGATATGTCTAGTGGTTGCCCAGAATCTGCAGAAAATGCATAATCTGCAAAAATATTAGATTTTGCAAAATTTCCCAAATTTGTTTATGGTTGTGGTGCTGCCCGCGAATATCCAGCGCAATTTTCATGTCTGTTGTCCTAACTTTTGCCAAACCGTAAAGTCCGTATTGTACAACAATCATCTGAACCTCTTGGATTTGGAACTGTCTGGCTGGGAAAAGTACCCAATGCTCTTTCTGAAACTTGCAATGCAATCTGCTCAATTTGTTTTTCCATACTTTTCATTGCTGCAAGTAGATTTTGGATTTCTTGACTAGTAGTGTTTGCTAATTTTTCAATTGCAATCTTCTAAGCAACCTGAGGTGCAGCAGATTGTTGTACCTATTGTTGAAATTGTGAATTTACATGCTGATCTCTATCCCACTTTAAATTAGGATGATCTCTCCAACCCGGGTTGCAAAAATTTGAATACGGGTCATTTCTTCAACGTTGAAAATTATTAAATGCATTAACTTGTTTTACTGGAAACTCCGAATAAGCAGCTTTATGTGGACAACTCAAAAAATCATGGGTTGTCATGCTACAAATGTTGCAAGCAGCTTGTAATGGCTACTATACATCAACCTGAGAATTTGGAATTCTTTGTAACATGTCAAATTTTGCATCAAATCTTTCAAGCTTTTTCTCTATTTTTTCAATTTGTGCCGACACATATGGAGAACCATTAGATGTCTCAAAGATAGACCTAGATTGTGACTACTCAACTACCCATTGTTGTGTATCTATTGCCATTTTTTCAAATAATAAACATGCCTTTTGTGCATTTTTATCCTTGTATGAACCTCCGCATGAAGCGTTGACAAGAGTTTTTGTTGTCATATTTAACCCTCTGAAAAATATATGCATTTGATCAATACTGTTAATACCAAAATGTGGACATTTTCTAATCAACTCTTTGAACCGTTCCCACGCCTCATGAAACTCTTCATTTGGTTTTTGGGCAAAAGATAAAATTTGAGTTCTCATGTAAAGAGTCTTGGAAGCTGGATAATCCTTGCTTAAAAAATTTTCACTAAGTTGGTTCCAAGTGCTAATGCTTCCAGATGGAAGTGTGAAAAGCCATCTTCTTGCTTGATCTTTCAGAGTGTATGGAAATAAACAGAGCTTAATAGATTCGGCTGAAAATCCTCTAACCAAAATATTCTTACATCCCATTAAAAATTTTGCAATGTGCATGTTAGGATCATCGATTGAGAACCCATGAAATGTAGGTAGAATATTCAACATGTGTTGCTTTATTTCAAATGTAGACCATTCCTCCACTTCTAGCTAAGTAATGCAACTTGGTATGTTAGTGGCATAAGTTGTTAATGAATCCCTTAAAGGTTGACCAACTTCTGGAATAACAAATGCCATTGTTTCCTTGCTATGCAGATCCTCAGAAAATAAAGACTGCTGAAAAGTCCCCTGCAATGAAGGAACCCACTGCAATTTTTGCTCCCTTCTCCTTAAAATCTGCTCAGGTTCTGGATCAAATTGAAATAATTTTTGCACTACTGATCGTGTACTCACCATGCACAGATTGTTGTAATCTGCATTATTATACTGCTGTAATATGTAAAAATAAAATAAAAACGAAAATTAAATTTATTTTTTATTTTTTATTTTATATATGTATATACAACAATAACTAACTGAAAATCTGATTAGAACGAATTGTTTTAAATAATCTCTGACAGGAGTGCCAATTTCTAGATATGGATTTTACTACACATGCAAATGGGCTAAAAACTCCTATAATATTTGCAAGAATGACAAGGTTATTGTAGTATAAACAGATCTTGCAAGGTCGTTTTCCACAGGGATTATTAAATAATTCGAAGCGAATCAAATTCCAATTAATTATTGTAATGTAGAGATTGAGATGACTGATTTTATAACCTACTTAAATTAAAACGAATTTAATTAATAAAAATAAACTAATCTGCAATATTAAAGCTCAAAGAAAAGGAAAAGTTTTGGAGAAATCAAATTAAGAAAGCACTAGGGTTCCACCATCACCTAGCAATCCTATGAACTTTTTACCAATTACTTATGATCTACACATGCCACTTTGAAGGCTAGGTTTTCCTAATTTATATTCTACTTGGAACCTCCAACATAGAATGTATATCAAATGCAACCCATCTGGACGTTCGGATCAAATCTAAAAATGAGAGACTCATTATGCTTTATGAAAACCCTTTGAAAAACCATGCAATCCTTAAGATGTGGTGTTCATCTTAAGTGAAATTACAATTATTAATCACAAGAAGCCAACGCCAATTCAGGGAACCTTCCGACCAAATTTGCATCAAATTACTTTTCTAAAGATCTTAATGGTGATCAAGCATTAAGACAATTAGATAGTTTTAATCACGGTGATCAATAATTCAAAGTATGCATGCAATCAATCATAAGCAATTAAATAAAAATTACATTTTCATGCTAAGGCTCAAGGCTTCGCCCTAGCAAAAGGAATTAGTTACGCATATTTATAATTGAAATCATGGAAAATATTATTAAGAATAAAAGGAATGAAAACACCTTAAAGTAGAAAATCTCCAAGAACCCTAGCAATTCCCTCTGTCTCTAAAGTGAAGGAAGATTTGTAAAAAACAAGTTCATTTGAGCAACATCAACAACATGCAATTAACAATTAAAAGGCGGAATCATGTTTATATGCACTCAAAAACAAAACTTAACCCATGAACTTCAAAGCCTTGTAGATAGGTGAACCAAGACTCAACTCAAAACAAAGTGAGTTGAGAAATCAATACCTTTGTAGATTCCTCTTTGCATAAGCAAAGGCTAATCACCCAAAGAGAGGCCCTTCATTCCTTGCATCTTAGATCCATGGATTTGGATGGATGAAAAGGTTTCTCCAAGTTCCCAAAATTGAGAACATCTAAGTCTCCACACCAAGGCATAATGAAGAAGAAATGAGTGGCCTTGAGGAAGTAAGATTGCTAGATGTTTTCCTCAAGGGTGGCCGAAATTTTAGAGAGAAAGGAGAGCTTGTGTTCTCATCCTTTCCCCAAAAATAACCCTTAATGAATTTTGGCTATTAAGTCACACTTATACCTTAATTCATTTGAGTGACAAACTTGTAAATAAGTCAAAACCCACTCTTTCTCTAAATGGCCGGCCTTAGGGTATTCATTGGGCTATTTGGGCCTTTGTGAATCATTATTCATTAAGTTGTCATACAACTTAAGTCAATGGACTTGACGTTCAAAGCCCATTGGGCCTTAAGGTCCAAAACTATCCCGAGGTCTTCAACGAACTTATTCGTTTGATTAATAATCATATTAATTAATCCTTGCCATAAATAATTAAACCATTTAATTATTCTTACTCATCTCCGTTGAATCTTCAATCTCTACCTTACACGGTGTATGATCCATTAGGTTCCTTTTAGCGAGGCAATGGGCGATTCAAACTCTTTCAAATCGATTGTGAATTAAAACTTACTTTCAATTCTCCCGTTAGTGATAATACACTTTTAGGGCTTCCACAAACCATGGTTGACGCCTAGCAACATGTCATGGTTACCCAAGCTAATCAGAAGAGGTGGAGAACCTATTCAGTTTTAGGATTACAAATGCAATACGGTCTTTCTCTAATACAATACTCTTGACCACATTGTTTGGTTTGATAGTTTATTCATGTCTACTATCCAATGTGAGTCTTGTGCTTATATGATTACCTTGAATGTGATTTGGAACACATTCCTAAATCTCATTCATACTTTGGCCAAAGATTCTTAATCATATCATAGAGTATTCTCCCTCAAACAGTTTGAAGGTTAGAGATCCCTTGTTGCGCATTCACTTGCCTTCATGGATAAGTGGCTTAACCCCAACGATGCCATGGACACCCTCCTGATGGAGTGACTTTGACATAATCAAAGATTAAGGACCTAACCACAAGACAACTGTGATGCCTCAGGTCAAAAGACTAATTTGCATTATCCCAACCATGAGTTCTCATGTGACATGAATATGAGAACTCTTTGTTGATCGTGTTCAGTGAACTCATTCTCTATTGAGCACCTACGTACTTGTCTTGATGTCACACACACCAATGACTCGAGACTAGTCACTCTCCCTGAGAGAAGACATAGCACGTACTGATCTTAACGGACTGTCAATGCCCAATTGACAATCCTATGATCAGGAACGTTTAGGATGTGTCAACGAAAGAATGGTCTCATGAATCTAACTTCTTTAGATCGCATTCTTCCAATCACATATTCCTTGGACTTATCGTTTAAGCATATAACATTTATATGAGACGGCTCAAACAATAATCTTTGCCCTTTACATTTAAACTACATTAGTTTGAAATGTCCGTAAAGTATCATCATATGATTGGTTTTATGGCACATTTCCAACAATCTCCCACTTGCACTAGAGCCAATCAGCTTAGTCATCATTGATGATACCTCTTCTGTAATTCATTTCATAAATGGCTGAGTAGTAGGCCTAAACAATGGATATCTATATGTTATCCATAGAAGCAACCTTGAGAATAACAACGTCACCATTATACATGATTCTCAATCATGTGGTTCAGTCTCTCATTTGAGTTCGAACCTTGATGAGACCTTGATTCCCTGGCTTGAGCTATCGCCCCATTAGTGTCATACACTTTCTGGTTGGAACCGAGTGGAGAGTTCATGAATGAACTTTCCCATCCAAACAACAATGTTGTAAGCTTCTATATGGCAATATATTTTGCATACATGATGGAACACATTAAAGTCATTTACTTTTAACGTTTCCACCCAAATATCTCTTTAGTCATAATAAAGAGATATCTCATTATCACTTTATTCATAATGAAGAGATATTCTATGATGGATTAGATTCATAATCTAATACATTTACGCTTCCATTACGTTACTCTAATTCTTCCTCATTCTTGAGGAATCCATCCTTAGTATTTCTTTAAATACCTAAGGATTCACTTGACAGTTGCCATGGTTCTGATCCTGGGCTTGCACTGATATCATCTTGTACCGTTCTAGGTACAACTTATATCAATGTTTTCATACAATACATAAATCGCCTTTCTGCGTATGCATAAAGGATTCTATTTACGCATTATTTCTTTGGGAGTCAAAGGGTACATTCCCTTTGAGAAGAACAACTTCCTAGTCTCACTAGAATTGTCATTCTAATTGAAGTTTATCATCATATGAGAAACTTCCTAGCATCTCTTGTCTATTTTAGGGATTGATATAATCCAATTATATCTTGAAATCTATCATTATAGATTTCCATCCCATGTATATAGACTATGTCTCCCATATACATTCTATCATTATAAAATGTTTAAAGTCATAACTTTAACGATGAAGAATTCCTTTCATTTTCAAAATTAATATATATCATGTATATACATTCAAATTTAGGAATATGATCAACTCCCACTAATCTTTTGTAAACCTAGTAAACAAAAGATTCATTTACATCTTTATGAGAAATCAAACAATTGATCTTTTCTCATAAGACGCTTATAGCTCCCACTAGCTTGCTAAGATCCATGATGGATGGATCTCTACAACTAACATGTCTTAGAAGTATATATCATATATATATGGGTAATTGATAATGTCCAACGAACTAAATCTTATTTATGTTCATTATTCTCCTAATGGAGAAATTCATTATCTTACGATGCTACTTTCCTTGATATTTTTCAAGGAAATTAATCTAAAGTGTTACTTTTTCCTTGGATCAAATCTAAGGAGGTAAATACTTTAGACGTCTTACTCATCTACTTACATTTCTTGAATTCTTTGAAACCTTTTGCAAAGTATTCGGACTTGTGTTTATTCAAAATAAACTATAGTCCAACCGAGAGTGATCTTCGGTGAATGTCATACAACATGAGTAGTATTATGTTGTGGACAAGTGCCACTAACATCTAAGTGAATTAACCTTAACAACTTTGTGATTCTTTCTTCTTTCCAAAAGAATAAAGATTCGAACATTTCGCCTCTATACAATTTTAACAAGAAGGTATTGGATCTGGATCAAACGATCCAAAGCATCCATCTATGACCAACTCGTAACTTATGTTTTAGAGTTATCACAACTCAGTTGGGATTAGTCACTACCTTGCAACCTTTTGGGTTTTAAGCATCGTTATATTCTTAAACAGTTAAACTACCACATCATCTCTACTATAGAGACAACCAATTAAATTACAATAATCTAATTATTGATTAATAAAGAACAATGTTTTGTCAAACAAAACATTTATCCATCTCTACTATAGTGACGGATTTAAGTTCCTAAAAATTGGAATGTAAAGACAATCTTTAGTATTTTCCAATTTCTTTGGTAGTTCATATGAGGAAGTAAGTACAATCCGCTTTCGCAGAGATCTATATTTTATTCACTTTCCGAATGTGAAGTACTTTCTCTTCTCTCATTAATCTTCTACTTTTTATTAGCACACTTTTACAACAATTGTAAAACATAGTTACTAATACGGAATCAAGCATTCAAGTAGAAGAACCAACTGTTTTGAACTATTCAAGAACATTTTACAACACCTTTGAAAGGTGTGTTCTTTGACACTTGCAAGACATTTCTTGC